TTTGCAACAGTTTTGCATTCGTGAACCGCATCATTTGGACAAATGAATTGCAAAACTATGAACAATATGTTTGAAAGATTTGATATTACCGTAATGACTTTTCAAGTTTTCAGAAACATTGCACTATCCTTGGATCCCTAGTTGTTTCAAACAATCGATAATTTAATTAAAATTCCGATCTGTGGACCCACAGATACGAATTTTAATTAAATTATCTATTGTTTGAAACAAAAAATGTAAAAAAACACGCACGTGCATGAACGGGACGAACTTGACAGCCGCTTTAAATATATACGAAAAAAAATTATTAGAAATTTTAATTTTAATATATTAAAACCTGGGAATAACGTTTAGGCAGCATGTGATAGAACGTACTGTTAGCTGATGCAAGAACACGCACATATTGATGTATATCCTTTGTGGAAATTATCATAGTTAACAAGTGCCGGATAAATATAAGGTTTTTTTCAAAATATCCTTTTCGTATGGTCTCATACTTAGCTGCTTGACCCCGCATCGCGACAAATTCACCGAAGCAAATTCGCCGGAGATAATTATTTTTTTAAAAATCAATCTACCCCTAAAAGATCTTAGAACTGGTATCATAAAGACAGGCTAATATGTATCTAAATGTTGTATTTAGAGAACTCTGTTCCGAAAACGAGGTGAAGAATGATTATTTAGAGGAAAGGGAAAGATCGCCAAGTCATGATTGTGAATTAAAACCAGCCATTTTAAAAGTTGAAGAGCAAGTTCAAGCGTTAAGACAACGTCAGGAGGAGTTTATTAAAAAGATATTCGAAGAAGTGGGAAAATTACAGAAAACAGTTGAAGATAATTCATGTCTTCCCAGAAAATCTGAAAATGGTAAAGCGTGCGATATAATTTTAGCATGTATGCGGTGTTTTTATAAGTTATATTTGAATTTGGCTCATTTTTATTTAATTTTGTTTCGTTCGTATTAAACAAGATACTCTTTGTTGTTAATATATAGTTAAGAACTGCGCTGATCTATACAAAAGAGGAATCAAACAAAGTGGAGTTTATCAGATTGATCCAGATGACAAGGGCATTTTCAACGTATTTTGTGATATGACGACATCCGGGGGTGGATGGACTATGTTTCAACGTCGTCTTGACGGAAGTGTTGATTTCTACCGAGGGTGGCAAGATTACAAACATGGCTTTGGTGATCTGAAAGGTGAATTCTGGCTCGGGCTTGACAAGATCCACAGACTAACAACTGCTCCACAAAATGAACTTCGTATTGACATGGAGGATACATCTGGAAACAAAAAATATGCAGAATATGATTTATTTGCTGTCACTAGTGAGGAAAAGAATTACAAAATGAGCCTTGGAACATATGCCGGTAAATAGTTCCATTAAATTCGTCACACTGTGAACACGGTCATCATAGCAGCAATATAAAAACAACGTGCAGTATATGAATTTGTCAATAGCACAAAGTCCAGACTTGGGAAGAGAAATAATATAGGAGCTGATCGAGCCTGTTATTATAGATGCTAGAGTGTGTAAAAATGATCTCCGTCATTTTGTATTTTAATCCTTAATTGAGTTAATTTCGCAAGCAAGGCATTTTTTCAGACAGTGCGCTCATATAGCAACAGACAGCTGTCTTATTAGGTAAGCTTAGGAGGCGGACTACAGTATGTCCGGGGTGTTTATCTGAGCTCCACATCGAGCGGGCCCTCCTAGGTAAGAGGCTTTGTGCTTACCAAAATCCATTCTAAACATCGGTTTTTTACGCGATGTCACTAACCACTCGAGACCTTGACCTGGTAGAGCAGGAACTTTCTGGTGTAAACGTAGCAGGGAGGGCTGGCCCTGCTAGCACGACTGAGTGAAAATCCGAAGTATCCGTCGTATTAAACCAGAATTTCTGAAGTAATAATAACTGGTATCCTAGGGCGCTTTCCATTAACACGGCCAGACCGGTCAGAACGGTCAAATTGTTGAATGGAACACAAAACATCTGGGCTTCGGACCTATCTAACCTGAAATTTTAGAGTAACATTAGAATGAGGTCCATTTTCGCTAGATATTTGAGAAACATAGACCAGATCTTTGCGTTGATACAGAGAAAATAATTTGGGTCTGACCGGTCAGGCCATTAAATGGAAAGCGCCCCAATCGTCTGTTATAGTTACTATTCAAAGTTTTCTCGGTAAAAATACGGTTTCGGATTTCGCGAGAAAATAAATGAGTTGTACGAAGACGTTTAATACGGTTCGTGGAAGCAAGTCAGCTCTATTTGAAACACTTAATTTCTGTTCTGATTAATCTTCTGTTCAGACGCGAGCTGAAAACTAGCCCTGCTAGTTTGATCAGTCCTTTATATAAATAATATAACAACCCTGTAGGTACAGAACAAAGGATTTGATCGAGTTATTAAGTATTGATTCAATATTTTTAAGGTACAGCAGGAGATTCTCTCTCAACTCATAAAGGAATGGCATTCTCGACTAAAGATTCCGACAATGATGTACATAAGGATAACTGTGCTGTGACGTTCAAAGGTGGTTGGTGGTATACGATGTGTCATCATTCCAATTTGAATGGTATCTATCATCATGGTGTACACGACTCGTACGCTGATGGTATCATATGGTACCATTGGAAAAAATATCACTATTCTCTGAAATCCACATCAATGAAAATCCGACAAGGTGGTTTTGGACTGAATTAATTTAAAAGTAGCCTAATTTCGCGTAAACCGCATGATTGATTCATGCAACGTTTTCCTAATGCTCTGAGCATTACTGTCAAATGCTAATATCTCAATAATTATTGGCCCATTCTCTGTCGGATTACCAGAACTGCATATAAATGGCCTTAATAATCCTCGAAAACTGTTATTTCAAAGGCGATATGGAAGTTCAGATTTGACATCCACTACCGCTACTACTGCTTGTCACTAGCTTAATAAACATGTGATTGGTTGATCGGTCAAACGCATCTGAATGGCTAATGGCCCCTTAATAGCAGCCGTAGCGGCAGTAGATCTCAATTCTGAACCTCACTGTTGCCTCAAGCAACGCAAAAAAGAAAAGTAATTGCGTTACTTTGAAAAGATTCTTCTACCCTATCTAATGAGCGTTTCTTTTGTAAATCTAGATTTGGATTTTTAGGATTCGTTAAACAAATGGAACAAATTGTGAGAATCGGATGAACTTCCTGTTTCTATAGTCCACCGCTGTGTGTGTACATATACCTTGCAGTCGGGTCAAGATACATGCTAGAAGCTCAAAAGGAACGTTGAATCCTAATCAAGTTCCAGATTGAATCCGAAAAATCCATATGTTGAGGTGGATTCATCAGATTCGAATCTATTTTAAGATTTTGTTAAATGAAACTGAAAATCGATAATCGAATTTGAAGATCCAAATCCGGATTGCACTGAAGGAACGCTCCCATACATTACAAAACAGGTTGTCTTTTTCTTTCGTGTTTTGCTTTTGCCTTCACAGCAACCTCGAAACTGAGTCTTTAAACAATTAAGTAGATTTCTGTATAATTCTAGACTGTTCAACGCTATTCGTTGTCGTAAAATACGGCTATGAATGTTTTTTTTTTTACTACGTTTATACCCTTTATGTAACTTAGTAAATTTGTTTGCCATTTTAAGCATTGATGTACTATTTAAAGCACGCGTAGGAGTGTTTTATATATGATAAAACACGACTACAAGTGCTTTAAATGGCTTAAAAAACGACTCATCTTATATGAGTTAATTGGCGAAGTAATTTTTAAAATAAACTTTGTCTAAACCGAGAAAATCAAAGCTAAAGTTTATGTAAATTAACATGATATTTTATCACATATAAAGATACGACACGCTTATGATTTTTCTTTGTGTTTTCCTCCTGAATTATTAATGAACTTTTTTAAATATATTAAATATTTTTTGCAAATTTAGTTAAAAATCAATTCGCATGCAGGAGGTTGAGACGAGCCAAAATGCTCTAAATCTGCCTTTTTGTGCAAACAAAAATTTAATGAGAAAATAAATATATATGTTATTTACCGGCGGGAGGTCCGTACTGAAAAATCCAAAAATCAAATACGGACCGACTTCAAGGGCAATTAATACACAAATTCGTTAAGCAAATATTCTAAGACAATTAAGAAAACAACTATGACACACACAATGTTGTGGAAGAAGGGTTTTCGAGGAGAAATGCTCGGATTATACTTTAAACTGTAGCCAAAGTGTCGCCCCACAGACTCACTATTACAGCAATATGATTATGATATAATTATAGACATTATATATTCTCAGGGGGGTCGTGGTTCTCTCATGTTGGACTTTACCCAAGGAGTAGTGGGTCCCCGAGATGGGTATACTAAATGTCCAAGGGGTAGTAGATCCCCGTGATGGTCATTGTTTACTTTAATGTCCAAGTGGTAGTAGATCTCCATGATGGTCATTGCCTACTTTACAATACACTGAATAAAACATTGATTTTTGTGTATCCACTGGGTTGAGGGTGACCTTTCCCTTGTAGAATCAAACACTATTTAATTGCTATTAGGCCGTGGACTGTTGTGCGCAAAAGTGCCTAGAAAAGCAATTTCGTGGCACCCACCTGGGAAATAGATTTTCTGTGGTTCAATTCATAGAACCATAGATGCTTAATTACCACAAAAAGTTCCCAAGCAAAAAACTTGCCCAACACCGAGAAAATGGGTGATCAGTGATTATCCTCTATTAAATTGTATTACAGCAAGAAAATGTAAAATTTTGTATTCAATTACAACAAAAATGACTTGCATTATCAGAAAGCTTACAAAAACCTACATATAAGACATCTAAACAGTTTTGTTATGTCTAAAATTGTTTTCGAGTTATGTACGCTGTCAAAAACGCGTTTTTTACCTAGTACCCATTCCTTTTCACATTTAAAACAGCAATAACTTAAAGACTATTTGAAAAATAAAAAAACTGTTTAAAAGTCTTATATGCGCTTTTTTGTACGTTTTCCGATGATGAAAGTAATTTTTATTGTAATTGAATACAGATTTTCCCATTTTTTGCTGTAATACAATTTAATACAGGATATATAATCATTGATCACCCATTTTCTCGGGATTGGGCAACTTTTTTGCTTGGGAACTTTTTTTGGCAGCGATGTACCTATATGCCTTTCAAATAAACCCCAAACCAAGTATTTCCCACATGGGTGCCACGAAGCGAAATAATTTTGGCCAACAGCCCACGGCCTATATTTAATTCCTATTTTATTGGGCTATTTAATTCCTATTTGTCAAAGTATTTATTTCCTATTTTTACTATAATTTTTTTTCGAGGTTTTTCCTATATAAATTAGGGTAGAAAGGCTATTTTCCATATCCAAGTGGAACCATATTTTTTCCTATTCATTGTATAGGATGTACCTATATGCCTTTCAAATACCCCAAACCAGGTATTTCCCACATGGGTGCCACGAAGCGAAATAATTTTGGCCAACAGCCCACGGCCTATATTTAATTCCTATTTTATTGGGCTATTTAATTCCTATTTGTCAAAGTATTTATTTCCTATTTTTACTGTTATTTTTTTTCGAGATTTTTCCTATTTAAATTAGGGTAGAAAGGCCATTTTTTCCTATCCAAGTGGAACCATGTTTTTTTCCTATTTATTATATATTTCTAAACAAATACTTAATTGATGTACTCGAATAGAAATTAAATAGGTTTCAAATATGATAAAAATAGAGCTATTTAAGGAAATTATTAAAAATATATAGTTTCGACATAGTTAATAAATATGTATGAAATAGATAAAACATAGTGACAATATAGGTAAAAAATATGTAATAAATAGCTGAAATGAGTTTCAGCAATGTTTAAAATGTGACCTACCATGGGAAAACATACGTTAACGGTTTTGAAAAACGTTCTGAAAATCGTTCGTTATCCGTTCGTTATCAGTTTAAACGCTTTAGCTTTCCGTTGAAACGATATTTGAGATCGTTCAGACTTCTTAATGGACCGTTCGAACGGTTGGACAAAAACGTTTGAAAAATGCTGCTAAATCGTTCGAACAATTGGCACAAAACGTTCAAATACGTTCATGAAGCCGTTTAAATGCGTTACAGAACGTCTTTACGATGTTTATAAGCTGGCTTTGTAGGCATTTAAAAGTTTATCTGAAACCGCTTGTCTTGTAGGATTTACAAAAAAAAACACTATTATAGTATTACAGACAGCAGTATAATATAAGTTCGCCACTCCTCACAATATTAAATATTCTTTATTAGAGCAGCGTCGACACTGTTGCGGTGAAATACTGCAACAATAAAATTGAGCAAAAGGTTTCTCGAATGTTGAAAGGTTGCTTAAATCCGCGAGCTTGCCGTCTCCGTCTTTTAATAGCGTCAGCTTAGTGTCAGCTAATTCACTTTAATAAGTTTTATTATTATTCTAGCCGAATAACTAAGAGTCGTTATGTTACAAATACAATTGTATCAAAACAAACATATAATATTCATCTTAGTAATATACCTACATGCCTCACCAGTTTAGACAGCAAATTTTGTTTATAGGCCTATGTGCCGAATATAATACAACGATTGAAAGCGGCAGTAGATCGGCGTCTAATTGCCTAAATCAATTAATTCTCGCAAGGTTTGAATAACTACGTGTGACACGGCACAAATTTCGCTAAATCATGTCACATCGTCCAGGAAAGACTCGACATAAGTTTAAACGACGCGCTTTTCATGCGCCGAAGTTAATGCATTTTAACAGTTTCACGCAACTCGTCGTAATACATTACCAGCAACGAAATAACATATGACATTTCCAACATAGTGCATGTACCGGTATATATATATAAATATGTATTTTTGTACGACATATGTAGAAAGTCCAGTAATTTGCAGCAACGCGGATATAGCCGGAGTAATAACAACGTGCATGTTGCCAGACGGCAAATGAGATATTAATTACTCAACTTAGTTTGATGTGAATCGGCATATTAATACATGACTGCATGGCACCCATAAACCTATAATTTTAATATTAACAAATTCGTGTTGTATAATGTGCACAGATGGACTTCAAAACAGCAGAGTTTTATGTGGAAAAGAGTTTTTTAAACAGGGGCGGATCTAGGGGTCGTCAAACCAGTCACGCGACTAACGTAAAAATTGCAAACTTTAATTGAAGTCTTAAATATTCGACCAATAGTCCAGTTATTTTTTATCATGCAGCGACACCTTATAGTAATCCAGTACTATATTATCATGCAGCGCGAGCAATTAACATTCCAATCAAACTACAGTCCAGTGATCAAATTTCATACAGTGGTTGAGCCGACGAGCTTAGTCAAGTCAATGAGCAGCTGTCATACGCAAAGTCGGTCTGTCAAAAAGTCAAAATCCAGTGTTCTGATTGGTCTAGACGCTTATTGCCATGGAAACAAGCGATTTTTTGCGATTTTGACTGATCTGTGGGAAGTTCTGACCGATTTACAAAAGTCAGGGGCGCCCCATTAGTCGGAATATCATTAATATTTGACGCGT